ATAGTCCCCATTCAGATGAGATCCCGGAGAATAAGTTCTAAATTGGTGTTTCTTCAAACCACAGCCACCAGACTCACCTCAAGGTAGCTTTGAAGGACACCAACAACCATGCTTGCTGGCTACGTGGACGCAGAGTTAATGACCTTACTTTGCTCAACATTTCTAAAGACAGTTTCTTTGATAACAGAGAAAAACATCTTTCTGATACCAGTCTTTGGGTCTAAAATTGAAATCCATTTTCGTCAATAATCTGCATAAGTGCTTTCTAAACATGAAACTAAAGACATGCCCGGTAAGATTCGTAAGGACTTTTTTCTAACTATGTGTGTTGTCACAAAAGCGGCATCCCGTACTGTAATTGGAAACTGGTCTTCGTTCAACCTTACGAGGTAATGGCATCAACGCATCTCTAAGAAGTTGTAGATCAGCAGTAGCCTCTGAGATGGATTGATAATGAACCAATGGACGAAATACTTTCTAGAGGCAATTGCAAATCATCCAAACGTTTACAATAATTATTGCCGAATAATAGAGCTTCGTAAAGATCCTCACGATTCTTTTTTTCAACACATTTACTTCTACATGATGTATATACATCATTTATACAATTTATACATTTTCTTGTATATACAAGATAAAATGTTTATTACAAACTTATAAATATTTTTTAATTATTGAATTAACATGGAAGTTAACAACTGTTTTTTCGATTTAATAATTATATAAATTATGAACATTATCATTGCGCTTCATAATTTTATTATGGCTTTACCTATTTCATCATAGCGTTGTGCTTAATAATTTCACCAGCAGATAACAAACACGTCTTCATAATACAATGCTGTATGTTTTCCAAAGGCACATCAATATTACGGTTTTACATAACAATAAAACCGATATTATGTGCCGAGAAGGAAAACATACAGCATTGCAGGAAGTTCTTCCTGGTGAAGACTATGAAGATCAAAGATGGCTGCGCTCCCTTTATACTTGCTGGCAGCACCTAGCGGCTAAAGATGGAACTAAATTGACTGTCTATGGTTGGACATAGACAAGGAATCTAAGCTAAGTACACACTGCTTCTTCATAATACAATGCTGTATGTTTTCCTTCTCGGCACATAATATCGGTTTTATTGTTATGTAAAACCGTAATATTAAGAATAAAATGTACATACCGAAGGCTTGTCTTGTTTTGACTTCCTTTTTTTCGAAATTTGGATCAATTACTATGATGATTTCCTTCCAAGCCGCTCGAGTTGCGACGCGATTTTTATAAAGTTCCATAGTTTTGTCCCACAAAATGGGCTTTTGTTCCACTAATGAAATTAATAATTCGTTATCTATACAAGATCCATCAACCATTTTGAAATAACAAACACATGCAACCTCTCCAAAAGACGCTCAGGTACTAAACGCTTCTCTTGTTCGGTTGCTATTCGATTAAAAACGTATGAACATCATGCTGTGCGAACGAGACAGAGCTATATTATGCGCCACTACAAGCCGAACACGTTAAAGTTCATTGCCGCGTGAACTCAGGGCTAGGTTGGTTTCACACGGAATTGTCCTGCACGTTTTCTTTGTATTCGTTTTTTTAACGTACAGTCACCCGGGTGCTCACACGGTAAATTTTCATTCGTGTAAAAACGAACGTATGAACGAGACAAAGCTATACTATGTACCAGTGCAACGTTAAAGTTCATTATATTTGCTTGACAAGTCCGTTGAGTATTCGTTTAAACACATAAGCGGTGTACGATTTTTTCCCGTACAAACGAATTGTGAAAGGCTCTATGTACAATGTATGTGCCAATATTCAATCGTTAATACGTATACTGCAAATAAACGTGCAGGCAATGTCGTGTGAACCTATTAGTGGGCACATACATTGTAAATTGTAAAATGAAACCCGCAAAATTATAATTTGCGTAATTACTGGTGGTAGGACCTCTTGTGAGTCCGCGCGGGTGGGTACCACCACCCAGCCTATTTCTGCCGTGAAGCAGTAATGCGTTTCGGTTTGAAGGGGGCAACCGTTGTAACTATACGTGAGACCTTAGAAATTATATCTCAAGGTGGGTGGCGCATTTACGTTGTGGAGCTCGACCACCCATCTAAGCAATAAAAAAAAAGCATAGAACCATTCAAAATTCGTTTGTACTTTTATTTGCACGACGTCATTGTGTTGTTCGCAAATGAGTGTTACCGGCACCTGCGTCCATGAACCACAGCACAGTCGCATTATTCCTTCACAAAGATCTCTCTTAGCGGTACACAGATGCGATGACTATGATGCTGCGATGTCATCTCACAGTGCCAATGTACGGATGGAGAGATAATCGGGTGATCATCATCATCATTCTCTTGCCCTTCTCCCAGTCACCTGGGGTCGGCACATGTTTTCTCCTTCTATACTCCTCTATCATATACCATTACTTCGCTCACTCCTTACATGTATTATCTTCCACGCAATCCCCCTATTATTTCTTAGGTCTACCACTTCTCTAAAGCCTCCCACGGTGATACCAGAGCCAAATTTAAGTTAATTAGCATATTTAAAATAACTAGTGGTCACCCAATAGTGGAAATTCGACCAATTAAATTAACATTCTGCACTCCTTCTCTATATTCTCTATAAGTGTGGGAAATTTTATACTCCTCCGTCCGCGCAATTTTCGTATAAAAGGGAACAAACTTTTTGCTTCACGTATTAATATACAGATGTATCGCCGTTGCGATTTTGGTCTGCGGTCTGAGTCAAAGGTTATGAATTATTTTCAGAACAGAAAATGTGGGTTCCCAGCACGCCGGTAACTTTGGTGACTGCAGTAGCGGCCGTGGCTGGTGGGGTGTGCATATTCAAGTAAGTTCAAGCAGAAGTTTCTCCGAGTCAGTAAGAAGTAAACTCCGGTCAAAATTACCGGCTCTTAAGGCAGATGACGTGTAAGAATTGATCTAGTTTTGAGTATTGCTCAAAACGATCAGTTTTTATTTATGTATTGCTCGTAAGCAAGGGCTTGGCTTTGCTGACATCTATTAGCGACGGTAGCCTCTCATCATCAGGTGGGTAAAAAATACGCTTTTATAGAAAATCCAACTAAAAAATAGAAAATAAATTTTAATAAATTTGAATTAAAAATAGTGTAAGAAAAAAATATTTTATTGTAAAAGCGTGGGGTGCTTTTCAGGATATAATCAAAATATTTATTACTATTGATACCATGTATTATTTATTTTTCATTTTTTAGTTGAATCTCAATTTTTTCAATATGTTTTTTTAATTTTTCAGTAATTTCATTTGAATCATTCTGTAACTTATCCGAGAAATAGGTGATCGGCGCGCCTGGTAGTTTCCCTTGGTCTTGACGCAGACACTCCGGGTCTCAGGAAAACAAAAAATCGCGAATGCTGATTATCCTAGTAAGGATAACGGATCAAACTCTTTCAAATGTTGAATTGCCATCGGTCGATGATAAGTATGCTAAATTTCGAGTCAATCCGACGTTTTGAAGGGGGTCAAAATCATGTTCAAAGATTCCGTTACGTACTAATATACGTATGAAGCTAATAAAAGCGTATTAAAAAGTGCGGGCTTGCGACATGCCCGACATGCCGACACGCTTTCTGATTCTTGTTCGTGATTTTAATTTAGTGTTTCGTCTTATATTGAATTATATAAAAAAAAAAAAACAATAAATTACTATTGAGATTTATTTAAAAATTATAAATCTAATATCGTAACCGAATCTAAAAATATATATTTTAAAACTATTTTGAGAGTTTAATATCGCGTTTATTATTTTTATTACAATAATTCTGACTTTATTCGACAAATAATCCTTTAGTGGTCCGTTGCTACAAAAACTGTGCAGTACCTACTTGAAACGACGCTAATAATAAAAACAAGATTAAATCGTAGATGTTGTTTTTCTTGTGTCTATGACTTTTGCGAATTGTAGACATAATTAAAACCGAAGAAAATAAATTGTATATTTTTTCGACTTAAGTTTTAGTTTATAGTTATTAGTACGTAGTTCACGCATACAATTGAAGTGGAACTCAACTTATGACCAATATACAATGACCTTATTGACCTTGTAACTTTTTTGGTTTAACGGCTTAAATAAGTAAATATATATATGGTAAGAGAGTAGCAGATCTGAAATGGAGTTGTGCTGAACACTTAGCAAGACATGACAAGATTAGCAAGGCGAAATGACAAGGTAAACAATGACAAGGACAAATGGTGTAGGACAATGGCTGACATTAAGTCGTAGAGGTGCTGGAATATCTATGGCTCGCTAGACCGATGACATAAGTCGGCGGGACTGAAATGGATGAGAATGAAGATGATGAGAACATTACGGCATAAAAAACGGGAGTGCTATGCCTAGCAGTGAGCATCAAAGGGTTGAAGATGAAGTATATATAATTTAAATCCTTGAGATCGGGACTACATAATGAGGTGAGGGTTCCAAGTCTATCGTCGAGCAGAGGAAGAGTCGTAAACCTTTATCTTATAATATACAAGACTGGCTGACTATTCAGATCCTCGAACCCTCAAAAATTTATTAAAAATTCAACAGGAAAATAGGACTTACGACATTCTTACCCACCGTAACCGTAAAACATAGATACAAGTTAAGCTAAAGTTTTCCATCAATCATAGTTAAAGCGTAATTAGGTACCATTCAGAAGATCCGCTCGATAAATTACTTTTAATTCAAACTATTTTACGCCGGTCTTAATTAACTCGCTCGTGTTCTTGTTCGGGTGAATGTTGGTAATTGATTTTAAACCGACCGTTAAGATGGGGACTTCAAAATTTCTAACTTAGGTGAGAATTGACTGTCAACATCAAACAACGTGGAGAAAGAAGACATTTTATAGTTTTTAATTGAATTAACCCATTATAGGGCCTACCGTTTTTATTTATTTGTCGAACAACTAAAGCGCTCTACTTATATTAGTTTCTGGCTCGCATATTTACCTACATACAGAAAAACAATTTGAAGGTAGCACAAAGCAACTTGCACAGTTCTCGCTCGGATAAGTAAGTAAAGCTGTCCAATTTGAAAAATCTAGAACAACGACTGAGGTCATCCGTGTACAGGAAAATCATAAAATAATAAATTTATCGTAAAAAATGTAAAATGGAATCGTAAAAGTCGTTTTAATTCTGTCTACACAACTCGCGAAAACCGAAAATAATACTACACTTATACACATACGCGTCTCCGGGCCCCAAAGAGTTAGATAAAGAAAATATTTAAATTCTTTGATGTCTGGGCTAAGGGCCCGGTGCTAATTGGATACCGGAGCCCATGGACATCGACAACGTAAATGCCGCTGTCGACCGTAACAAACGAACTCTAAATCTCAGTAACCTGTTCATAAGAATTAACCTCAGAGATATATGCTCGGCGAGTAAATTAACCCACAGACACAGTCCACTGAGTTTCTCGCCGGATCTTCTTAGTCGGTTGCGTTTCCGATCCGGTGGTAGATTCTGCGAAGCGCTGCTTCTGCTAAGGCCAGTCTTAGAAACACTTCCGGTTTGAGCCCCGAGAGCTCATCTACACGCTAGGGTAACGCTGAAATAGCCTCTCAAGGCTATCAGTATAAGTAAGAAAAAAAAACTATCTCTATTTATGTATGTTTCTTTTCTATTTAACAGAGATTACTACAGCGGTCCTCCGTACGACCGGTCCGTCCGTGCCGACAACAGAACAATTATAATTACTGGTGCTAACAGCGGTATCGGGAAAGCTGCAGCAAAAGACTTCGCCAAAAGGGGTGCTAAGGTAAATATTAGTACTATTGACAGCAAAAACAAGGATGTGGAGAGGCTTTTTGGCGAGCCAAATATTCTGGGGGAGATGAAGGCACGGAGGCTCGGATGGCTCGGGCATGTAGTGCATATGGAGCAGGATCGGGCTGTGAAACGGGTGTACGCGAGCGTACCGGAGGGACGCCGCCCCTTAGGGAGCCCCAAGTACCGCTGGTCTGACGCTGTGGAAGGAAATTTACGTGAGCTCCAAGTGTCGGACTGGCAAGGTGTTGCGCAGCGCCGGGATGAATGGCAAAGTTTAATGTCGGAGGCCAAGGCCCATTTCGGGGTCATAGCGCCAGCTCAGTAGTAGCAGTAGTATTGACAGCAATTGTGGATGGAAACGGGCGCCTTCAGGGTACACGCCTCGGGTTCCGGCCTCTCTCGGCGTGATCGGATCTCCGAGGCGATTGGACTGAAATTGAGGCGATACTTGAACATTGCGCTGACAACAATTGGTACAACGGCACGTGCCCACTCGTGCGGTACTCTAGGAATTAAATCGCCCTGTATTTAAAAACCAAATATTTTTTGTTCCTTTCCTTAATAAAAATCAAACCTGCAAAATTTCTAGATTCGCCTAATTGTTGATTGATGACCCTGTTGTTCTTAAGTCGTCTTACCCAACAAGATAAGACGTCCGGTGAGTTCGCATTGAGCGATGCAACTGTGCCAGTGTTCGAATCCCGCAGGCAGATATTTTTTTATTTATTAAATGCGTAGATACTTAACACACGTTCACGAATTACTTCTACGATAAGGGAATAATATCGTATAATAAAAAACAAACCCGCAAATTATAATTGTCTGAATTATTGATCGCAGGGCATCTTAATTAAAGACTTTATCAACTTTTGGTAGGACCTATTGTGAGTCCGCACGGATAGGTACCATCACCCTGCCTATTTCTGCCGTGAAGCAGTAATGCGTTTCGGTTTGAAGGGTGGGTCAGCCGTTGTAACTATACTGAGACCTTAGAACTCATATCTCAAGGTGGGTGGCGCATTTATGTTGTAGATGTTTATAGGCTCCAGTAATCACTTACACTAGGTGGGCTCGTCCACCCATTTAAGGAAAAAAAAAGTGTCTGGCATTCATGCACTGATCTCTATGGGCCCCGGTAACCACTTAACATCGAGTAGACCGTAAGCTGGTCCGTTTATGCAAATAATTTTTTTTATTGTCTCTGACCGAGAATCGAACATGCGCTCCCAAGATACGTACAGTACCGACATTAACCAAATAACCAGAAACGACCGTTGCAAACTTGTCCGTTGTCGTCTTAAAGATGAATTTTGTTCCATGATTTTTTCAGTGATAATAACAGTATTGCTTTAGAAGTTGAAGTTCGTTACGTCTTAGGTGTTTATGGCGTGCCGTGACGTCAAGAAGTGCGAGGAGCAACGGCGCGACATCGTGCTTGAGACGAACAACAAATACGTGTACTGCAGACCCTGCGACCTGGCCAGCACGGCCTCCATCAGAGAGTTCGTTGCCAGGTACGTCTAGCTGTTGACAAACTGGGCCTTGACAATCAATCATCCAAATAAATCTAAAAGACATTCAGAGTTCACTTACGGAACCACAGGATCTAAGACTTCGAATGTTGGTATTCGTTGGTAGCGTAAGAGGCTATTGCAGCTACGCCCGGACGGGTAAGTGAGCTCGCGGACTCAAATTGAGAGAATTTGCTAACACTAGCTCTAGCAAGAGCAGTACTTCAAAGAGCCTACCACTGGATCGGAATCGCAACCCACTGAGATCCGGCGAGAAACTCAGTGGGCTGTGTTTCTTACTTACTCTGTTGCCGTATGTACTATAGGGAGCACTTTGAGGAATTCCTTGCGATCCCATCATTTCGTTTTTACCTTCGCGCCCTCCATCACCGGAGAAAAGTTCATCCATACTACCTAGAACCACTACGATCATCCACAGTGCATTTTCAGAGATCGTTTTTGCCCCGTTCCATCCGACTTTAAAATGAATCCCACCCTATGGGGCTTACTGAGCGATAGGATATATCCTTCAAATGAGATCTGTGAAGTCCTCGGCAACAGTAGCTTGACTGTGCCCCTAAAGTTCATTCCTATTGCTGACTGTGAGCGCTCACCTTCAGGTTGGCCATGTGCATGTCTGTCTATGGTGGCAATAATCATCATTCTCCTGCCCTTCTCCCCGTCATTATACTCCTCCATCATATACCATTACGACGGCGATAAAAAAAAGTCATAAAATTATTTAGCTCAAAAATAGTGTCGTTCTAATCTTGGACCAGATTCAAAGGAGAGGAGCCACACCTTCACGTGCTGGTCAATAACGCCGGGGTGATGGAACCACCCAAGGGAGTCACTAAGGACGGCTTCGAGACCCAGCTCGGGGTCAATCACCTCGGACATTTCTTGCTGACAAATTTGCTCCTGGATACGCTCAAGGTATGTTTTTTTTTATTGATTAGATAGGTGGACGAGCTCACGGCCCACCTGGTGTCAAGTGGTTACTGGAGACCATCTACGCGTAAATGCGCCACCCACCTTGATATGTAAGGTCTAAGGTCCCAAGTATAGTTACAACGGCTGCTCCTCCCTTCAAACCGAAACGCATTACTGCTTCACGGCAGAAATAGGCAGGGTGGTGGTACCTACCGGTGCGGACTTACAAGAGGTCCTACCACCAGTAATTACGCAAATTATAATTTTGCGGGTTCGATTTTTATTACACAATGTTATTCCTTCACCGTGGAAGTCAATCGTGAACATTTGTTAAGTACGTATTTCATTAGAAAAATTGGTACCCCCTGCGGGATTCGAACACCGTTGCATCGCTCAACACGAATGCACCGGACATCTTATCCTTTAGGCCACGACGACTTCGATTTACTACCCGACTAAAGTTTCAAATGCAACGCCAATTGTTTCACAGAAGGAATATGGTTCGAAGGTATATCTCTCTACTTAAACCTGTAATGTGGAAATGGAGGAGCCACTTGTAATATAGAATTTAGGAGGGAAGGAAGTTAGTTATGACAGTCGATTACGGTGCTGTAGCTGTTATCTCGAGGAACCTGGAATCACAGAACCAGTCTCACAATGAGGTTGAAAGTAGAAATTTTTGTTGCAATTCTCTAACTCACCTACATCTCAGATGACACAAGAATTGGAAAGCTCTAAAGTTGTAAGCATTAAGTATTATCGTCAATATGCCTGACCTGCACGGGTCAGCTTAGACTAGATGGCTACTGGAACTCAGAAAGCGTACTCACGAATCCGTTAAGATAACGACCATTCTACCCTGAAGTGAAGGTCGTGGGTTCGGTTACATGACAAACCTTAAACGACTTCCATCTTACTGTTCTGCAAAGGCCCTGATAAAACCAAACCTTTCTACTGTCTTCACTAAAAAGTATTCAGTTTGGTATTTTATTGGCGCTAAGAATATAAAATCAAAATATAACTAATTTCATTATTTTAATTGAATGTTTGTAGGTAATAGATTATGAATACGTTGATACCTTGTACGTAAAGTCCACAAAGTTTGGCTTTTTAATTACAGTAAACAAAATAAAGATTTCCTTGCCTCAGTCCGTTTCTAAAAATATTATAACACGTATTGTAAATACAGAAACATTTATAACGCGACTTAAAGGACGAGTTTACGCGTCTCGAATACTCGCTTAATTTTTTTAAATAATTCACCGAAACTGCAGTCCGCTCATTTGTGTTACCGACGTCGAGCAGGCCTCAGCCCCGAGCCGCGTGGTGGTGGTGTCGAGCAGCGCGCACCAGCGCGGGCGAATCCACAAGCACGACCTCAACATGAGCGAGAACTATGACGCGTCCGCCGCCTACAGTCAGAGCAAGCTCGCCAACCTACTGTTCGCGCGGGAGCTTGGCAGGAGGTTACTCGGTGAGTCTCATATACAGGGTGTGTTTAAAAGCACCAATTTCACAGCTGGTGTGCTTAGTGCGAGTTTCTTAACGTTTTCGATAGCGTAAAAGTTAAGCCAATTTTGTATGCAGTTGGAACAGCGCCCCTAGCGGCAAACGTACACAAACGATCCCATTCCATACAAATATGAGCTAACTTTTACGCTATCGAGAACGTTAAAAAACTCGCATTAAGCACACTGAACTAAAAAAAATGTATTTGCGTACGACGAAGAACGAACTATACCATATCTACCATAGATACAATTCACTGAGTTTCTGGCCGGATCTTCTCAGTGGATCGCGTTTCCGATCCGGCGGTAGATTCAGCGAAGCACTGCCCTCGCTAGGGCCAGTGCTAGTATATTCTCTCATGTCGAGCCCCTGAACTCACATATCCTTCCGCGCGGAGTTGGAAAAGCCTCATGAGCTACCAACGATTACGTGAGTGGTGAAAATGATCGGGCCTGATCAGACACGTTTAGGCCTGGCCAGACATGGAAATGGGAAAGACAAATGAACGAAGACACGCCGTTAAGTCGGTACTGAATCAATCCCATAGATATTGTGGCGGGTAGCCATCACAGAACACAAGATATTTGACAGATGTAGGCAGCGGCTTGGTGTAGGCAGCAGCTTAGCTCTGCCCCTGGCATTGCTGAAGTCCATGGGCAACGGAAGATGCCTAAACCTCACTTACGACGTTTTCAAGATGAGCTTGCATATAGGTATACAAGTTCCGAACAACATTCAGACCGTCTGTCCACCGAGCAATTACACCCGCTCGGTGTAAGATCTTTCCCTTCGTCATTATTTCCACAATATCATAACGTAAATGCCATCACTTTAAGGTCTATGTCTCAAATGTATAATATAACGGCTATCCCACCTTCATACCGGACCGGAAACAGGTGCTAAGTGGTACCTACTCGGGCGCAAATGCTCCGTGCCCTAGTAGTAGGAAGTGAACTTTTTTTTTCTATTGTACACAAGGAACTGGAGTGGCGACAATCGCAGTAGACCCTGGCCTCGTAGACACGGACATCACCCGCCACATGTCAATGATGAAAAGCGTTACTCGGTTCTTCATATACCCACTGTTCTGGCCCTTCATGAAGAAACCCGAAATCGGAGGGCAGACAATAGTGCACGCTGCCCTAGACCCTAAGCTGAAAGACTGCGCTGGAGACTATTACGTGTAAGCAATCACAACTTTTTTATTTATTAATTGCATAAATGAGTGGACGAGCTCACAGCCCACCTGGTGTTAAGTAGATACCGGGCCCATAGACATCTACAACGTAAATGCCGCCATCCACCCTAAGATATAAGTTCTAAGGTCTCAGTATAGTCACAATGGCTACCACACTCTTCAAACCGAAACGCATTACTGCTTCACGGCAGAAATAGGCAGGGCGGTGGTACCTACCCGCGCGGACTCACAATAAGTCCTATCACCAGTAAAGTTTAAAGTAGGTAGTGTGTGATAGGTAATATCAAATTAAACTTGTTACAGTATTTTTTCATTTTTGTATAAATTCTCTTCCACATTGTTGACAAGCTAATTTGAGTACGCAAATCAAAATCGAGTTAACTAAGTAAATCCGTGATTCATTTAAAAAAGGTCTTTTAGTTAATTTAGAAACAATGTACTTTAGTTGTTTCTCGTATATCATTGCAATGACTGTGCCCTTTGTTCTTTCTTCACGATCTGAGCGTTTGAAGATACATATAAATTTTTTGTTACCATTTTTTTTATTAATGCTTCAAAACCCAAGACGTTTTAATATTTTTAAATTAATTGGCTCTAGTGTTTTGACTAAAAATAACCGTTTATTGAGATCTTTGTAGCATCGGCTTTGAACGCTAACTAATGACGTCACAAGTGTGTGAAGCACCTTGAGACATGAGGTCGATGTTGCTTGAAGTGACAAGATTTATAAAAATTGCAATCCAATAGATAAAGCCGTGTGCCGACGCATCCGATACAAACAAACATTCATTTATTTATATTACTTTGAGAGCGTATGATTTAGTGATATGAAGAAAGCTGAACCATCACAAGAAGCTCAAGACTTCGAGCTGGCGCAGTGGCTGTGGAGGGTCAGCGAGGCGTGGACCAAGCTGGATGAGCATAAACAAGCCATCGCCAAAGACACACGGAATTAAGAGACAGATTCAAATAAATATTTTGATTGAGGGTAGTTGTGTAAAAAGGCATTTTTTGAACAAGACACCGAAGTCATTCGACTGTTACTTTTAATTTTAATGATCTAAGTGAATATGTGCTATTCATTTGATTAATTGTTACATTTACGCATTTAAAATAGGTGTAGTCTTTAAAATAAATAATTTAAATATTTATATATCTTTTATTTGAAGGCCACAAAGATCTTCTAAACACAATCTTGTCTTCTCTCATCACTCCTAGAGGACTATTAAAGCTCGTTCGCTGAAGGACATTATTTGGTGCTTTGAGAATATCAAGACCTAGCCTTGATTAAAAATTTGGTAGTAATTTACCATCGAATGATGTCTGCACTGCACTGCACTGTCACCAACGTGCCGGGGTCGCAACCAGGACATAGTCATATTATCCTTAAGCTCCAGTTCAAGGAAGAAGTGTGGTGGCGTCCCGGGAACACTCCACGGAGCTCATTTTAAAGTTTCGCTGAAAACGTTTGGAAGTAGGGCGTTTCAGGTTATTTTTTTATTGCTTAGATGTGTGGACGAGCTCATAGTCCACCTGGTGTTAAGTGGTTACTGCAGCTCATAGACATCTACAACGTAAATGCGCCACCCACCTTGAGATATGTTCTTTTTTTATGATTGAAGGATTATTGGTGGGTGGCCCTGAGGCTTTTCAGCTGGTGACAGCACAGATGGGCGAGCAAAGGTTTAGCCAGAAGGGGTGGAATTTGCTAACAGCTGCTCGAGCGCCTCCGAAAGAGACCTAACAACTCAAGAGCAGCTACTTCGCGAATGAATCTACTACCGGATTGGAATCGCGACCCGCTGAGAGGATCCGACCAGAAACTTAGCGAGCTGATTCATGGGTTAGGTTGCACGTCGAACTCTTTGTCGAGCTCGACGAGTACGGTTACCGGGGCTCCTCAGCCTGCTCCTACTGTTAGAGCTGAAGGCGTCTAATGCAAAGGTTATTGAATCTGATGGATCCGTAAGGACGTGTCTAGGGCGTCGACGGTGACTGGCTCCTGCGTGATCAGGATTCGGGGAGTAGTCAGCGGCGGCAACGATAAGGCGATTATCGTGACGCATAGCCTTATCGAAGTACCGTTCCGACGCTGATTTCATGTATTTCCGGATCGATTCAAGGCCCAGGTCATCGTGTAGGTCAACGTTCCTCACAAACCATGGAGCTCCGACGGCTAACCTGCAAAAGCGGGATTATAGAGATTGGAGGTTGTCTGTATGTTTGGGCCGCGTGAGCGAACACCACACTCGCGTAAGTCATGACGGGCCTTATGCAAGTTTTGTAAAGTGTCACCTTGTTCCGAAGGGACATTTTAATCCGCTTACAGATCATAGGATAAAGACGGCCGAGAATAAACGCGGTACTTGGCCTTCCTGGCCCAAGGTATGAGTTGGCCGAAGAGGATGATCGGGGGAGTGAGATTCTTCCTTCTAATCCGGGAGGAAATCCGTGTGGAGTTTCCTTTTTTAAATAGCATCGCAGTACTTTTCGCTGGGTTGATGTCTATATAAGTTCTATGGTCTCTCAAGTATAGTCACAACGGCTGCCCCGCCCTTCAAACCGAAACGCATTACTGCTTCACGGCAGAAATAGACAGGGCGGTGGTACCTACCCGTACGGAGGTTTAAGTTCCGCGAACAAGTCGCAACAAAAGAACACACGTTTAGGAAAATATATTTATTGTCAGTCCCATATGGACTGGTGGTACTCCGGTCTGTCGAACAGCAACTCCTGCTGCGTGGCGGTGTCCGCGGGGTCGGGGTGCTTGTGCAGCAGCTGCAGCACGCCGGTGCCCAGCGCGGCGGGGGTGCCCACGATGATGGACTCGGACACGCCCTCGATCCGGTCGCACTGCCCGTAGAACGCCGCGTCGAACAGATGATCAGCTGTCTTCTCGAACTGATGACAAAAATACATTTTCCAAAGTCACTTCTATGTATTTCTATGTCGGCACAAAATGTAGAATTTAGATTGTTTAAAATTGATGGGTCCCAATCCCAAAGAGGCATTTTAAGGGTTCCTAATTTTCACATATCTGAACAAATTTAGATATTTATTTATATTTAAAAAAAATCATTGAAAGTATTAAGAACCGCCGCCGCGCTTACACTGGCCAAATTCAAAACGGATTCCTTCATCCTGGCGAGTCCGTATCTGGTGATGCCCAGCACCTCACCCCGCGCCGTCATCTGCCCCGCCAGCAGCTCCACGTGCCTCCTGTCCACGCTCATTCCGTGACCTTCCATCACGGCCTGGATCTCACTGATGATGGTAGATTTCGCGGCTTCTATCCCCAACGTATGGTACACCTGGAGATCGACTTTTCTTTAAGCACGAAATGTTGGTAGTGCGTAAGATTAATTTAAATGAAGATATTTGTTTACGACCAGATTGTAATAATAATAATAATAATAATAAGCGGGGACAAATACCAAACTAGGATCCCTATACACAGATCGGTGTACAATAGCATCCTCGAGTCGACGATATATGAGTCCACGAATCCCACAGTACCGGGATCCTTTAACCGTTTGGAACCAGGTGACCGGCTGTGACTTGTCCCCGGATATATAATAATACATAAAAGATAAGAATGAAAGAAGAAATGTTCACTTAAAACTCAAAAACGTTAGTCCAATTGATATGAAACTTTACACCGATATGAAGACTTCGGCGAACATAGTTACGTTAGTGTCGAATAGATGGCGCTAGTGGCCGTGATTTATCTTTTTTAAACCTTTTATTGGATGAGTTCATGGTCCACCTGGTGTTAAATGGTTATCGGAGCCCATAGACATCTACAACGAAAAAAACGCCACCACCCAGAGTTCTAATTCACTGTTAACAGTCCAACGGCTGCCCCATCCTTCAAGCCGGAACGCATTACTGCTTCACGGCAGAAATAAGCAGGGTGGTGGTACCTACCCGTGCGGACTCGCAACGTAAATGCACCACCCACCTTGAGATACCTTATATCTCAAGGTGAGTGGCCCATTTACGTTGTGGATGTATATGGACTCCAGTAACCACTTAACACCAGGTGGGCTGTGAGCTCGTCCACCCATCTAAGCAATAAAAAAAAAGGTCCTACCACCAGTAATTATGTAAATTGTAATTTTGCGGGTTTGATTTTTATTACACGATGTTATTCCTTCACCGTGGAAGTCAATCGTGAACATTTGTTGAGTACGTATTTCATTAGAAAAATTGGTACCCACCTGAGATTCGAACACCGGTGCATCGCTTCGCTTTCTTATCCTTTAGGCCACGACGACTTTCAAAACTGGCTCCGGACTCACCTCTAAAATGTTATTGGATGTGGTCTTCGTGCCGTTGACTCCGAAGGTGGCGATGACGTCCCTCAGGCCGTCCCCCTCCACGCACAGCTTGTACCTACAGCCAAAGAAGTGGTACCTTAGCGACGACGACAACAACCCGCAGCTATCACCGGAGTTCGTGGACATCACGACAACGTGACGCCTAAATCTCAAGACTGTTTAATGGATTTCATCTTAACCAATCCTGGATGCTTTAATCACTTTTGACAAGTTATAATTCTGCACATTTAAAGATCATTACAGTTTTCGTGATCACAAACGACTAGGGCATACACTATATCTATACTAATATATAAATCTACAGTGGTTTTTACGGATGTTCCGTTATAACTACTGAACCATGCATCCGATTGACTTGAAACTTGGTATCCATGTAGAAAATAAATGTACTTGATGGATAGGCTAATATTTATATGAGTGTTGGACTCCCTACACCAGTTGCGGGGGCGTTAATGATGAGAATCTTTGTGGGGATGAGAAGTTATAACGTTAATTTTAAAAGCCCAGCGAAGCGGACGGGTACGGCTAGTATAATATAAAGCGGTTGGTTCACGCGAGCGCTCACTTGGTGCCGGGCAGGTCCGGCTTCTCCGAGGAGTCGTCGCAGGCGATGACGGCGCGCGACACCTGCGGCAGGCCCTTCACCACCACGGCGGGCAGCTGCCGGCCCAGCTGCTGCAGCGACATGTTCAGCCAGCCGCAGCTCTTGGACGGCTCGCCCGTCACCTTGATGGCCCAGGCCGACACCGCCGTCACCTCCGCCGGCTTCACCTTCAGCTTCGACGTGCAGATCCTGCGAACCAGCACGCGACCGTCACGCGGACCGTCTCCCAGCGACTCTTGTGAGTCCGCGCGGGTAGGTACCAGGGCACTTATAGGCAGCGGCTTGGCTCTGTCCCTGGTATTGCTGACGTCCATGAGTGACGGTGACCACTTACCATCAGGTGGGCAGCTCGTCTGCCTAAAAAGGCAATAAAAAAAAAGAAGAAAAAAACCACCACCCCGCCTATTTCTGTCGTGAAGCAGTAATGTGTTTCGGTTCGAAGGGTGGGGCAGCCGTTGTAACTATACTTGAGACCTTAGAACTTATATCTCAAGGTGGGTGGCGCATTTACGTTGTAGATGTCTATGGGTTCCAGTAACTATTTAACACCAGGTGGGCTGTGAGCTCGTCAACCCATCAAAGCGATAAAAAAAAAGCTCCAGCACTAAGGCTTGCACACTTACGAATACACGATGGAATGGACGTCGACCTCCAGACAGAGCAGCCTTATCCTCTCCGCGTCCAGCTTGATGAGCAGGAAACACTCGTAGGGCAGGTACACTTCCTCTATGTACGTCGTTATCTGGAACCGAGAACAACGCGTGAGCGCCTGCCCATCGGCAGTCGCGCTGGACGAGACAACAGACAAAAATCGACAGTGCGTTTCCAGAGATCTTTTTTGCCACGTACCATCCGGCTATGGAATGAGCTCTCCTCCACGGGTTTCCCGAGCGCTATGACATGTCTTTCTTCAAACGAGGCTTGTGGAGAGTATTAAGCGGTAGGCAGCGGCTTGGCTCTGCTCCTGGCATTGCTGAAGTCCATGGGCGACAGTAACCACTCACCATCGGGTGGGCCGTATGCTCGTCTACAAGGGCAACAAAATAAAAAGATCTGACCTCGCCAAGGGTGGTCTTCTCCAGCCTCCCCTTGACCCTCCTGGCGAACTCTTGGTCGTAGGGCTGCATGAGCTCGGCGGTGATGATCGGAGTGGAGATATTCCGGGAGGCGTTGATGATCTCCTTGACGCGGGGAACCCCCTGGGTTATGTTCATGGACGCGACACCGGCGAAATGGAACGTCTTCAGGGTCATCTGGGTGCCGGGCTCGCCGATACTCTGTGATCATTACATATGGGATATTTCAACAATTATATGTTTGTGAGTACAATCCAAACATAGATCTCATGTCTTGAGGTGGGTGATGTCTACTGGTTCCTTTGCCCGATGATAAGCGTCCCGAGTGACAGTTTTGAAGGACCTACACCCAGTCCACAGTAATAATAATAATAATTATTATTATTTATTTATTTCTCTCTTAAAGGTATAGTACAAATACATAATGGAAATTAACCTTATAATTTATTTTGTAAGCCTTTGAAAGAGTTGAAGTCTGTACTAGGTTCAAAGACCTGTATTACTGATCTCCAGGCTCCCTCCAGATTAGGTTGGGTTAAGTCGTGAACAGATGCTGCGAACTAGTGTTGAGAGATTAGGTGTTATTATTTAAGAAGGTCATGCGTGCGTGCGTGCGTGCGTGCGTGCGTGCGTGCGTGCGTGCGTGCGTGCGTG